ATGAATATATCGCAATCGAATGTAACTCTCTCTTTCTTTCCTTTCCAGGGTTTAAACACAACCTCAAGTATGAAGTTCGCTGTGCCATGTTGTACCCAATGTGCAAAGGTTAGATCCCTATGTATTTGTACTTCGAGATCCTCTAACATGTCATCCAGTATGTACTGCAGATTCTCATCGACGAAAGGACTGATAAGTTTTTGCTCCTCTTCAGTGCCAAGCTTCTTATGAGGCAAGACAAGGACAATTCGGTCCGGCGCGACACCATGGGATATCAGAAAGGCAATGCACTCATAAGTATGCAAATTGGAACCGTACATAAGTATTAAATAATCGCGCTTGTGCTCCTCTATGAGCACACGCAGCTTATAGAAGAGCAGAAATTTGTCGAGGCGGTTGTTGAGCTCAATAAAATTAGAGGGTATTCGCCCGGGATGCTCCTCTTTGTGATCGTCCACTTTTAGTCTGAAGCTCAAATAGTTCATAAGCAGCAAAGTATCGTAGTATATCTCGCAGGTCTTATTTATCTTTACAAACTTCTTTTCCCTGTGACAATTATTGGGGCTTGAAGGCGTTCATTAATTCATAAGACTTACCTGTTAATGTAGTTCACATGCCCGGGCAGAAATTGGACCCAAAGGCGCAGATCCATGCGCAGCACCACATCGCGCACATAACAGGAATAGTTTCGATAGCTTAAATAGCAGTGTCCACCCGGCGGGCAGTAGGGACAATCGAACATGCAATCATATTCCGCCTCCACGAGACCGGGTGCTGCGATAACCGTAACCTGCAAGCGCGGCAGACAGTTATAGTTCTCCGAGTTCGCGTGGCTGCAGGGCATTTTAGCGATTAGACAGTGGGATGCAGAAATGGGGCGAATGCACTTACTCCTTAGTATTCCACTGAAAGACCAGCTGACGCAAGAACGCCTTGGCGCTAGCCGTAAATCCAATGATGACCAATCTGGTGGTCTTCCCAAACCATTGCGAGGGATTCAGCCTGTGGCGAAAGACTACCAAATGATCACGATAGTAATCGTAATCGGGCAGGCCCATAAGCGAGCTATTTGAATTCCATTTAAGTTTTTTCTCGATATTGGTGAAGAAAAACTTCTTCATGGGCGTGGGCTCGATGGGCATCATCATCGTCTTCAAATCGTTGGAGAATAAATATTTCTGCAACAACAACAAATCGAGTGTATATAAAATAAAGAAATATATATGTAGAGTATACAAAAAGAAATCCGTACATTACGTGCATATATGAAATAGAAATCAAAATATCTGGTCTTCGCTGCCAGATTACGAAGTATCACATCGCAACAATTACTGAAGAGTGGATGCAAACGAAGCGATATAATCTCGGCACGTTCATTATCCAGATGCTGGTCGTTTTTGGGCAGATGATAATGATAATGCAATTCGTGATGGTGAAGATACTTGCGCAAGATCACAAACCCAATGGCCGTATTGTGAATGGCTGCTTTGGTGGAATTGCCACAGCGTATGGTGAACACATCGTAATCGCTGTTCACCTTTTCCAGCACGTCGCTCATGATCTGCTGTATGACCTGCACCTCATTGTCAATGTTGACGAACGCATTCACCTTGGAGTTATACGAGAAGCTGCTGGCCGACGACATCTCTCTCAGGTCGGGTACCATTTGGCCGCCCTTGGCCAGGTCCACCACAGTATCAAAGTCTGTGCTTTCCAAGCGATAGAGGCTGGGCAGGTTGTTATGGATAATTTTGAGATAGGCATGAGTATATTGGGGCGCTACATACCTGATTTCTCCAAAAATGGCGCTGCGATGCGTAATATAGATATCAGTCAAGTTGGCCACTTTGGTAGGACGCATCGCCACGGGCTGTGTGAAAGGGGCAGAAACTACAAATCATGGATTTTCATTGTGGGTTTTTGTGACTTGCCATAAAATATTTAAGCGCCTCCACGTGACTGCGCAAAGAGTTGACGCTCTTTGGTATGGTCATTATGCAATAGTCACGGTCCGGAAAGGCCGCGTACATGGCATTCAGGCAGCTAAACAAACGCGGCAGGGGAAAGTCCTCCTGCACACAGATGTACTTCAACTCAAAAACATTTGAGGCAGATTGCACGCCATCCACCTGTCGTTTCTTTGGATCCGTATTATAATGAAGACTAATGCACTTGCTTTGCTCATTGATGTAGTAGCCAGTCGTGACCAGCTCTAGAGACACACATATGACACACATATTAAACATGAAGCCTTTTTTCTAGGACCCAAAGCTTACTCTCGAATATATACACAAACTTCATATACAGATCTTCACGCATGTAGAACTTATCCTGACTGGTCGACACATTCGTATCTACGATATTGCCATGAATCGAGCTCACCTTTAGCTTGCTCAGACTGGCCACACTATAAGACAGAAGTTAGAATGCTCGAATCAAGGCTGCCCGACTAGCAGCTACCCTGTCCCCAGCTCTAAACGCACTTTATTCCGAACTCGGGACATTAAGATGAAACTTCATAAGAAGTTTATGAACTTTATACATAAGAACTTTATGCCTTGCATATGTGAAATATTAAAGTCTAATAACTGCGAAGTATGACCCAAAAATATATACCAATATCGGGTAATTGAATGAAAATATCGAAAACCTAACACACGTTCCCAAAAACAATGCAGACAGACAATCATTCGATGCATTATACCCAGCGGAGAGAGGGTTTGTTAAGCTAAAGTGTTCAGAGCTGGGAAAAAATGAAAATAATATATCCAACCTGATGCCACTATCATTGCGTTGCACGCCACCAATTATGGTCGTTGCATTGAGGTCATCCATGGCATCGGCTGTGAATAGGTTGGCCTCCGCTTTGCGCTCCACGGACCTGGGTAGAGGCCAATTGAAGCTATGCCTGGCAAAGATACACGAGGATCACTCACGACACAGTTACTTGCTCGTAATCGAACGGCTTGTTGGTTGAGAATTTGACCAGATTGCCGAACATGTCCATCTCAAAGTTCTGCACGTAGAAGCGTATGTCCACCTTTGCGTCTAGCCAGATGAAACCCGCAGTACGCGAGTCCTGTTTTTCGTTCTCTAGCTCGGCGACAATTATCACCGAATTCTTGGCATCGTCATCCGTGCGCATTAGCTCTTCGGCAATATAAAAGTCACCCAGCTCGGCGCGCATTTCGGGCAGTTCGTGTTCGTGCATCTCGATGATGTCGTCGTTATCCTCGGCGCTAAGGGTGCACTGGCAGGAGTTGAAGGATTTGGAAACAGTCGAAACTGAGACATGAACTTACAGAGCCTTGCGATATGTGATCTTGGGCAGAACTCTGAACCGCTCCGTAATATATAATGACTGCGTGTTCGAATTGGAGGTAATGCTAAACTCGCGTGGATAATAGACTGTCGCATACTTCTCCAGATCATCAAAGCTCTCGGCATAATACAAATCCTCTTGCAGTACCGGCGTTCGAATTGTTATCAAATACCAAACGCGATTCTCCAAGTAAAAGACTTCACGCAGCAGCGCAAGCAACGCCTCCGGATGCTCCTTTCGATAGACGCAAAAGTTAAAGAACATGGAGTTCAGCCGGCTTATGGTGTCTCTGATGCTGATGGAGCAGGCTTTTTTAATGCTGCCAATTCATAGATAACTGCCAGGCATATATCAAATTTTTACCAATATTTCTCATGCAGCCATTCCAACCAGCTGTCGCTGGGCATTGGCCCGATTGCCGGATAATTGCGAAACTCGGCATAGGCTATTAGGCTGCTGTCCGTGGGATCATTAAGCTCGACGGCCATGCGATGGGTCTGATACTTTTTGAAGATCTCATTCTTTTCATATTTGGGACGCTTGTTGCCAAACCATTTGATAGCCGGCTCATAGATCAGCGCCGAGATGCTCTGCAGATCATCTTTGGTCGCCCCGCGCACCGTATACCCTTGCGACATTTGTATAAATACTCTGTATGTGTATATATGTATGTGTAATTGTAATTTTGTTTGTTTATATTTATTGTGCACAGTGTTTGAGTTATGAATAGTTAGGCACATCATGTGCTACTGTCTTCGGGTGCTGCAATCCCATCGATCGCATAACACTTGGCCCTGGCATCGTGGCACTGTTGTTTGGTGCCCGACTTCTCGTCGCCCTCCCAGCGAAAGTAGGGGCACTCGTGCTTCTGGTGATAGTCCGACTGGCAGAGGTATACCATCAGGAGAAAGGGCCGACATGCGTTCTTCAGCATGGCCTTGGCACCCGGGCTGGTCTTAAGCAGGTTGTACACGGTCATGGCTGCACAGAAATATGCATTTAATATCGTTTAGCTGACAATTATTGAAAGATCTCACCATCCTTGCGACAGAAGTCAAACATTTTGATGTGATACGCCTGCTCCTTGGGTCGATCCGCGTACAGTGTCTCCGCATCGAGCTTCACCATCTTCATGTTGATCGTATCGCTCTTGCCTATATACTTGCGCTGCTTGTAAAGACACTCCACGAAGCACTAGAGACCGATCGCAGATTAGATTAGGTTAGAGATCCCAACTGTATATATACCAACCGACAGAAACTTGAGCGTTTTGCCCATATCTTTATCTCCATCCGGTGGCAGCCGATTGGAATGTATGGAGAAGCATTTCATCAGCGTCTCCTCATCGCCCAAATACAGATCCGAGCAGCATCCACTGCGCTGTCATTGTCGTTAACTATCAATTATTTCTGGGCTGTTAATGGAAGACACGGCTGCTCACCTTCATGCCACACTTTTCCTCAGTTAGTGTCTCTATTGAGCCCGCCTCCACAGCCGTCTCCTCGGACTCCTGTGCCAGGACCTGCCCGACCAGCAGAAGGCCAAGTAGTAGACACACTCGACTAGGCATTGTGTTGTTTAATGAAATGGAGCCGAGTTTTGCACGCTGCTTTATAACATTTCGTATTTAATTAAAATGGTTTTGCTTAATTAAATTTAGAAAAAATTGCAGCTCCACTTGTGTAATGGCTCGCAACAAAAACAAATCTATTAGCTCGAAGATATGATATCACGATGAAGCCTCATTTAAGGCAATAATTTAAATTCAGCCCGAAATCGCCAATGTTCCGGAGTAGCATCTATATAAAGGCCACATATTCGGATTTAGCAAAGAACCAAGTTGAGCAGCAAAATGCATCTAAAAATCTCCATAACATTCGTCTGTTGCGTCTGGGTAAGTTCCTGACTAAAATATAAATGTTGATACTTAGTTTAATTTTAAACAGTTCGCCGGCGCACTCAAAATTGACTGCGATAAGACCGATACCATAAACGAGGATCACATCCATCACTGCTGCAAGCATCCCGACGGGCACAATGATATCATTGCCAGCTGCGCCAATGAGACGGGCTTCAAGGTGCCCAATCCGAAGGAGCAGGCAATTGTGGATCTGACTGCAGGTCGCGCCATTGCCGGCACCTGCTTCGCCAAGTGCGTCTTCGAAAAGCTGAACATCATGAAGGACGACAATCTGGACATGGATGCAGTGCGCAAGTATTTGAACGACAAGTACAGCGATGATCCGGAGTATGTTAAGGAAATGATAAGCGCCTTTGATCATTGCCATGGCAAAAGTGAGTCGAAGCCATAGCGAATCCCATCTCTGTACGCAATCTGATCGAATGTCGTATCATTTCAGCTGAGGAGAATACTGCCAAGTTCATGTCGAATCATATATTCGTGCAGATGTCTCAGCATTTCTGCGCGCCCAAGTCCAGCGTGATCATGGCCTGTGTCATACGACAATTCTTCCACAATTGTCCCGCCGATCGTTGGTCCAAGTCCGCGGAGTGCGAGAACGTATTGGCCTTTAGTCAGAACTGTCGCGATTCCTTGGCCACTTTGTAAAGAGTTGAACTATGAAACAATAAAGAAGATATATTACATATATCCATCTGATCTGATCTAGCTGTTTAATTGATCAGCTTTTCTCTCTAAGCTCTCTCTAAGCGACTTGTCAACTTTAACTAAACATATATCTATCCAAATTCTTGATGAGAATGTTCCCTCTCTTTTGCTCTATTGCACCTCTTTAATTCTCAAGTTAAAATCAAAGTTGTATGCTGCTTTGTTCATTTAATTCCTCTTATAAAGATCGTTATACAATTCTATAAAGATTTATATGCTTAGAAGTCTATGGACATCCTTCACATGGTGGTTAGCACATCCTTGCACTTCTTGGAGAAGGCCAAGGTCTCCGCGCACTCCGTGGTGTTGGACCAACGGCTTCTGGGGCAGTTATGGAAAAAGTTCTTGATCACGCAGGACAGTATAATGCTGGACATGGGCTTGCAGTACTTTGCGGTACTGAAGGCGCGCACAATTGGCATCGATAGAAACTCCGCCGTGGCCTCCTCAGCTGAAAGTGTGCCCATGCAAAATATGAATGTCTACTAAAAGTTTCGACTGTTTGCTTACATTTCGAATGGCATTTCTCGAATGCATCCAACATCTCCGTCTCGTACTCGGGATCCAGCTTGTGCACGGTCCGAAAATGACTGCGCACGGCCAGCATGTCGAGCGAATCGTTCACCATAAATTTGTAATGATCGAAGACGCACTTGGCCCAACAGTTGGCGGACATGACCTCGTCAACAGTGATGTCCTCCATGGCCTCCTCGTTCCTGGAGGGCAGCCGAAAATTGGTTTGCTGAGCGCACAGCTCGGTGACATCGTTGTGCCCGTCCGGATGTTTGCAGCAGTAGTGTATGTGATCCTCGTGAATGCGTTCCATATGGCGGCAGTGGACTCGAATGCCCAGCGAGGGGCGGATCTGTGTGTGCATAAACGTATGTTATATTGAGAATCAGGTCGGTCAAGCACAGCATTGACTTGACTTACCACCACCAGCCGCAGCGCCAGTGAAAAGGCCAACACATATATCGCTCTCCACATGCTGACAACTAGCTGCGGATGCCAGTTGCCAGTGGCCATTTATAGGTCAGCGTTTAGCCCGAATCAATTGTCGAGCTTTAATGGAGTTTGAAATGAACAGACGTTAATTTAATGCACGCCCAATTGCTGGGCATTATGATGACAACCAGCGGGCAACCCCTGGCAACGAGCCAGCGGAGGGTCGTCATGGCAGCTGTCAAACGGGTCGCGGACTGTTTTCGCTTGTTGTGGGCCTGCGAGCTGTGTACTTAATTAGTCCGACTGCTGGCCTTTGAAATTTGATAAGAGGTTTTCAATAAGCATCCATCAATAGAAACACTTAAAGATGGGTAAAAAGGGCAAGGGCAAGGGCAATAAGCTGGCCAAAATGTCCGAGGAGGAGCGTGCCAGATACTTGCAAATGCGCGCCGACATGGAGGAGGAGACCAGGCGACGTAAAATGCAACTCATTGCGCTCTACATGAAAGTACCGACGCACAAATACCCTAACAAAACTGCGCTTCCCCTCGACTATACACTCTTGATCCCCTGCAGAACAAACTGAAGCGTGAGGATGCGTTTTGCCGCTTAAACATGGCCAAAATCAACCAGGAATGGCGTTCCATACTGCGGCAGGTGAAGATACAGGATCTGCGACGTGAAATCGTCGATGTGGCGCAGTTTTTCAAGGAGGCACTCAAACGCAAGAATCAGGTTATACAACGACTCATCGGCGACATCAATACCACGGAGGATATGTACGCCAATCTGCAGCAGTCGCACATGGAGAACATTGACCGGATCATAGGTAAAGTCTGGACACGTGTGGTATATGCATGTATTTATTTTATTCTTTTTTTTTTAATTTTTTTTCAAAACCCCAAACCCAGGCATTCACAGTAGCCGCATACAGTTCTTCTGGCGCATCTACGAGGACGATAAACAGGCGGTGCTTAGAGAATGGAAACAGGATGCGTGCATCTTCAAGGAGCTGCAGGCGGAAAAGCAACAACAGCTGGAGTGCGTTTTCTATCAACTAGAGGATAGCTCTGATCGAGCTGTTAAGGACAATCACGAAAGTTTCCTGGATCGTGTCGAGGATCTGAAGAGCGACGTGAGTGCTCATCAGCTAATTAAACAACATGTTACCATATTCCTCCCAATCATCGCACTGCGCCTTCGCATACTCCGACATGCATTTGATTAGCTCACGCGACTGGCTGCACTTGTTGTTGCTGTTGTTGTTGTTGCTGTTGTAGCGGGAGTGCTCCAGATAGCGAAAGCATTGCTGCACCGTGTCCATGTAGAAGTTGCGCAGCTCGCGATCCCTCAGATCCTTGGTCAGCAAATAGCTGACCTTGCGGCGATCCGGCTGACCATTACCATCCACCTGCAAGAACAGGGCTTAGCTGTTAGTGTTGAGGGGCCTCTTGCCTGTGGCTGACCTACCATGTTCATCTCCTCGAAGAAGCACTGTGCCACACAGGCGCCCCCCATGTCACCCGTGTGGCTCACCTTGTTGTTGTCCGTCTGCTTTACACTGCGCTGCCAACGATTGCCATAGGGCTGCTGCTGCTGCTGCTGCCGCTGCCCTTGCCCCTGACCTTGGCCCTGACCCTGCCCCTGGCCATAGTCTTGGATACCGTATGAGTTGTCAAAGTTGTATCTGCCATTGCCATAGCGTCTGTCATTGTCGTCCTGGTTGCTGCCGCTGCGCTGCATGCAGTTGCGCACGATTCGCTTCAGCTCCGAATCGCTGACGCCATCCTGGGAGCGACACTTGAGGCAGTGTATGCCGCAACAAAAGCCGAGTAAGAGGAACACCAGTAGACGCATCTCAAGCACTGTTGAGCTGCTCATGACTGCACGCGACATTTATAGCCAGTGGCAGCTGACACTGACGCCCTAATAGCCGCCCGCTTGACTGACACACAATGGAAGCATTGACGTTGACTGCAATTCTAATAATTCCGTTTTCAACGCCAATTCTCAGATGCAATTGGAACTGGAGAACATTACGGGCAGGGGCGAGGGCAAGCTGGAGGCGCTGTGGCAGGAGTATCAATCTGTGCTGGCCGGCTATGGCAAGCACATCGAGGGTTTCTACTCGGAGTATGTGGATCTGAAGCAACATGACGAGGAGAGCGCTCAACAGATCAGCCAGCAACATTATGAGATTGAGCATCTGATTGAGGAGCTGTCCAATCTGCGCCTGCTCGCCGAGGAGCAGCAAATCAAGCAGCAGGCCCAGCTGAAGCAGAGGCAGAGCATCAAGCAAGCGCTCACGGAGCGCCTGCGCGAGCTGCGGACTTGCGTCGACAAGGAGCTGGAAACCGAGCACAAGCTGTTCAAGCAAATGACCGTGGAGAGCTACGAGGCCATTGAGGTGGGTGCCTGACAGGTCTACAACATGACATAGCCCTTAGTGATAACCATTTCAGACGCTCAAGAGGCACCTGACCAAGGTGGAAACATTGTCGCAGCTGTCGCGCATCTGCGCCAAAATGGAGACCCAGCGGGAAAAACTGTTTCTACTGCCGCAGCTGTCACGTGAAATAATCGAGATACGCGAGCTGAAAACGCCAGAGGAGGATGCAGTCAGCGATCCTCTCAAGGTAAGCCGCACTTTTGAGCAGTCAGAGCAATTACTAATTTCCAACTTAGGAGGAAGTTGCCGCCTTGCCGCAGATGGAAACCTTTTGGCGGCGCGTCAACAATGTGTCCGTTGACGTGGCCTGTCTTAAGCAGCAAAAACGCAATCTGGAGGCAGACAATGCACGACTCAAGGCAGAACTGCAAGAGTATCTCATCAACCTGAACATTAGCAACGGCTCCAACAGCCACATACACGACTATCTGTCCAAGCGGCCCAAGAGCATGTCCGTCGACCGCGTAACCCAGCTGCGCCTGCAGCCCAAACAGGTCAAGAGCGCGATGGCAACAGCGGGCGGACGACGACCGCTGCCGCGTCCAGCTGGTAGCTATGTGCCCAGCTGTGAAGCAGGCATATCAAATACTATTCGATCTCGTAACTTGGTGAGGGGCAGGCCTCAGTTGGCTAAAATTGATGTGACAAAGCACTTCTAAATTTTAAATTTCGGCCAGTTTTTGAAAATTCCATTTGAAAACTATCTAATTTTAAGTAATGCACTAAAATGCATCGTTCCCGGAATATTATCAAGCGCTTTGTGCTAAGTCGATGCCCACCGCCCGCCTTTGGTGGGGTGCCCATAAGAGATTCCATAGCCAATGGCTATAGCCATGCCCAAGCCAACCTTGCTGCCAGCTGCCGAAAATTGTATACAAAACTTTTAGAATCTGGCAGAGATCATCTCGTAGATATACGCGGGGCATTAATATCGCGACGTCGCGACAACGACATGACCTGGGTCAAGTTAACTTGCAATCTGACGAAAAATATCAAAAAGAAGCCCAAATCTGTGGTGGATTACCTGAGCATGCCGCTCAGGGATTGTTTCGACTTTAAACCATGTCGCATTGGTTATAGGAAGCGAATCCTTTGCTCGGAATGCATCGGATCAAACACAGGCGATAGGGAACTGAATATCGGTGCTCAAATAACCAGCCCGCCTATTCAGTTGGAGCCGCAATCGGATAATACAAGTGAAGAATTTCGAAACGAAAGAGTGCGCTTCCAAAGTCTGCGCGTCACTCCGAGAAATCCGCTGAAATCTTAAAGTAACCAACACTTTTGTAATAGACTGGGAAAATACTATAAAGCACAGCACAAATTCCATTTAAATTTGTAACGCTTTTCTTTCAATATGGCGCCAGACAACGCAAGCCGGCAACCCCAGTAGTGCTGCCAGATCGTTGAATACTGTTCAGACAGTATTTATCTAGTATGTTTTTCGTTGTGGCTCGCATACACGTTTCACATCCACACTGTTCCGCAGTTTTCCGCAGACACAACCCATGTCCAATAGTCGTTTACACAGAAATCCGATTAAATACAAAGAATAGTTCAAGTTTAATTAATAAAAGTTTGCTGCCGCTGCTGCTTAATTCAGCGCACAAATTAAAAGCAATGGACAAGTGAATTAAAGTCGAAATCAAGCCCGCATTCGGGGTGTAAAAATCGGATGTGTTTTTTACATCTGTGTATCTACCGAATTCAAAGTGTATGTGCGTTTGGGAGTGTGTGTGTGTGTGTGTGTACATTTGTACGTACGCTACGCACTGTTATAGATACAACAACAAGCCAGCAGCAGCAGCAGAAGCAGCAGGCTGACAGTTGGAACGGCAACGGGCACGGGAACGGTGAACGCTGAACAGCAGGAGCATATTCTTGTTCTTGTAAAATTACCAAAAAGAAATTTCATTCGGAAAATGCGGAAATGAGGCTGAGAAAGAGAAACAACCCCGAAAACGCAAACGAATTATGTACATAAGACCAAAAGGCAAAAACAACAAGCAAAAAGGAGAGAAGACAAGCGCTGTGGTCTTTTAGCTTCGATTCAACTTTATTTTGTGATTAATAAAAACAACGAAAATATAAAGTTACGAAAACTGTGCATAGAAAGTGTGAGAAACTCAAAAACCCATCAAAATCAAAACTCTGCTCTGCTCTGCGCTGCATTTGGATTGTAAATTAATTTTTTTTTTCTTTTTGGGCCACGCCGTCGCCGTAGGCGCTCGTTCTTGTTGGGCGACGCGAGATAAACATAAAGAGAGATAAATACAGAAATAAAAAAAAAAAAAACAAATTAATGGAAAAGCATAGACACAAATAAGTATATATAATTTTATTGGTGTTGCGCGCTGAGTGCTTATCTATATGCATATGTCGTCATTGTCGCCTTCGATTTGGGTCTGTCTGGGCGCCTCTGCAGCTAGAGCTGCCTGCATGGAAATGTAACTGGAGCAGGCGTAGAATTATTTTCCGAAATGTGTTCAATGCAGGCCTGAAGATAAAAAGAAAGAAATCAAACGCGGAAATCAGAACGGGCCCCAATAAAAGGTTTGTAAATGCGCCTGCCACAAGAACAATTCTTTGTATTCAAATACTGCCACACCTCCCCCGCCACATATATATATAT